AAGGAGAGACGAGTGAGGACTGCTTGGCAAGGAGGCAACCCACTGCTGGAGGACACAACGGAGCTTGTCCTCGCCCTGCCCTGAATCCAGGAGAGTCCCCGAGGCCTGAAGGCTATTTGCTGAAGGTTGGGTGGGTTTCACCAAAACCTGTGGCCGAAGCCAGGGTGGGCATAAGGGACTTCAGTCAGAAACTCATTTCGTTGCTGTTGGCAAAGCTTTGCCCTACAAGTCCTCTGCAGAACCTCACAGCGTCCGCCCCATCATCTGCCCCCCTCCCGCCGAGCACGCCGCTGGTACCTTTCCGTTGAACATCACCGTAGCCCAGTTGTCCTTCTCTTTCTTCAGGACAAAGACAATGTTTCCCAGCAGGACCTGCAGCTCCTCGTCTGTCTCGGGGATGAACTCGTACAGGACGCGATGTGGCTGCCCTTTGAGGGCCCTGGGTGTGGGCGCAGTGGACAGATCAGGAAGGTGGGAAAATCCGTTGGTTTACTTTGTAGGAGGAACCCAGACCTCTGCCTCCTTGTTTCTATGAGCTGTTCCCCCTCCCCGCTGAGGTCTGGGTGCTGGCTGGACGCTCGGCTGCGACGGTGCCGGATGGGGTTGGACCTGGCTGCACGGGTTAGCAGCGTTGTCCATACTTGGTCCAACTTCCCTGAGGATTTCTGGGGTCTTGGGCCTGGGTGGAGGACCAGAGGCCTGCCAACAAGATGACAGAAAATGATCAGTAATCTGGAGGATTTTGGTTGCTTTGTAGAAATGTCCTGCAGCCTTCTACCACGCCTGCCATCACCCCTACACGATCCCTTCCTCCCCGTGCCGGTGTCAGGTCAGATGAGTTGAACCTAAATGTTTTCGGCTCTCTGCCACCCAGATGCGTAACGCAGCTGTCTGGAGTGCCATGAGGAATATCACCGGCTTTGCTCTTTCTAAGGAGCAGTTTCCAAATTCTCCCAGCTGCCGTTGGTTTTCAGAGGCACGATCCTGTTTCCGCTCATGGTTTTGGTTTCAGCTCACAGAGGGCTGAGACCAGGGATTTGAGATCTGCTGGTTTAAACTAAGTTGTGCGTCCCCGTATCCTCCCATTCCCGTGCTTGTAAAATCCCCTGCTGCCGTCACAGTTCTTCACAGTCTCTCCTGCCTATGTGATTTAAGGTTTCTGGTGGATTTTATCAACCCTCTGAAGAAGCTACTTGAAATAAGCCTGGCTCCTGTAGTGAGATGTCAACACTTGGCTGCGTTGAGAAGAGTCTATTTTGTCCTGTGTAACGGTGCTGCAGGCTGCAGCGGCTGCGCTCCCCTGTATCCTCTCAGAGCTCCTGTGAAAACTCTCGGGTGCCTTTAGCGATGGAAAGACGCAGCTACATCGTCAGGGAAATGTCACAGAAAACGCGAAGGGCTTTGGGAACAGGGGGGAGGAAGGAGAACGGAAGCAGAACCGCTCTTGTTTCTCCACTCACGCTCAGACAGCTGAACCCCGGTGAATCTGGCCGGGAGGGTCTGAGACAGCTCCCTGCCGAAAGCCGTGACCCCGCAGCAACAGGGGGGGGTGGGGCAGGGGCAGAGGATGCGCCGCCAGGCCACGACTTCCCCGTTCAGGGAACCGTCTTAGCCTCGACCACAGCCGTAGGTGGGTTTGGGCCACCCTTTCCGATGATGGAGGGAGCAGCTGAGACGTGGGGGCGGCGTCCGCCTCCTCCCCACGGCAGTAGCAGAGAGTTCACGGTGACCATGGTGCCCTTTGCTCCCCACTGTGAGTCAGAGCCCGCGGCAAGCTGGGGGATGATACCCATCCCCACGGCCCCCCTCAACTTTCACCAGGGATGCTGTTCACTGGCGGTGCCTTACCTGTGGCTGGAGTGGAGCAAATCCCGAAAAGTCATCCTTGTCCACCACAGATGCCACCACCTAGAGCCAAAGACAGACAGGTAGCGACTTGGTGCTTGTAGACCTCTTAGACCTCTGATGCTGGCCAAGCCAAGTTCCTCAGGATGCTTCAGGTTCAAGAGGGGCTGTGACATTAGCCGAAGCATCTTTGATTACAGTCTGAGTGCTTCTGGCACCAAAACTCACCTCTCAGCTGGGGTAAGTTCTCAGCTCTTAGCCTCACTGTTACTGTGCTTAGGGTTGCCACAAGCTAAAAGTTTCCCTTCACGTTTTAATCACAAATGTTGAAGGGAGCCAAAGTGTCCAGCTCAAGCCCTTACCTCCTATAGGTGTTTATTAGCTTTCTAAACATAATTTAGAAAGTTAATAAATGTTTGTGTGCGTGCTTCTGGGGTTCCCCTGACACCCAAGGGGCTGCCTGGCTCTCGGTCACCCGATTCCCCGTGCCTGCACGGCCGATGGTTCCCTTCCCAGAGGAGAGCTCCTCCCAGGACTGGAGCCCAGGGGCGATATCCCAGTGCTTGGATTTTGCATACTTAAGGGAGAAAGGTTTGCTCACTTCTCGGAGCTGAAAAGCCCCTTTCAGATGGAGCAGAGGAAGAACTGGAGGCAATTTGTGGGTGTCAAATGCTAAATAGCTTCTTCCTCCCCCCCACACACCTCCTCCTTGAAAAAAATCTTGGCTCGAGTTGAAGCTCCAGGGGGACCTTTCCAGCTCATTGCTGACTCACTGTCCCTCATGTCCCACTAAGGAGAGAAACTGAAAATAGGTCATGCTCTGCAGAAACATGTTTTTAGCAACTCTATTCTTGCAGAGTCCCTGTTCCCCATGAGACCCTCGATGTGCCATCCCTCTCTCCACTCCCGGGGGGGTCCCTGCAGCACGGACCGGCTCCGTAGCTCTGGCTGCCCACCAGGCAGCAGGTACCTGCTCAGAGCGGGGGTGAGAAGGTGGCCGGCAGCTCTCCTCAGCCCACAGGCTTGGCCTGAATAAATGAGATATTTCTTTCTTACCATAGCCTTTCCCAGGTAGTCCTTCTTCTCCAGCTGAGCCACTTGCTTTTCGTTCGGTCTAAACAGCTTCCCCGTGGGAATGGCCACCAGCTCGCAGAGCTTCTGCTTCTGTAGCACAAGAGAAGTCATCGCTTCTTCAGAGGCGAGGTGACTGCTTAATGTCGCCTTCCTTCTACCTCTGGGGTTAAGGTCTCGCTCCGTAAAGCCAAAACACCACTATGACAGCCCAACCCCAGCCCTCACATGGTCCAATTTAACCAAGCCTTCCCTTTCCTGCCTCCCCTGTGACCCAAAGCTCTTCCCACCAAGTTGTGTCTCACTGCAACACCCACATTTTGCTCAGCCAGCCTGCTGTGCTTTTCTCCAGCTCTGCTAAAGCCGTAGCTAGAAGTCGCTTTCTCCATCACTGGGGTTTTTCTCCCTCCTCCCTGCTGTCAGCAAACACGGCGGCTGTAAGACCTGCTCCTCCTTACCAGGATGGCTTCCATCGCCCTGTCGAGCTTGTTGTGCTGGGGCTCGCTCTTCATGCTCATGGCCAGCATCAAGTGCTCCTCAGCCTTCCTCCAGTCCTCCAGCGTGGCGTACACCAGCGCGATGTTGTAGAGGATCTGCCGGAGGGATGGGAGCAAGGAAATGTGCTCTTAGAGCAGCCAACCCGTGGCCGGGAGCGTGGTAAAAGAGAGGGCAGCAGGGCGGTGGCACTGCGTCAGCTTGCTCGCTTTTTGGCAAGGCGCAAGGAGAGGTTGGCTGTTTTCTCCTTAGATTTCTTGAGCTGGTGAGCAGACCTTTGGGATCCAAACTGTCGGTCAAGTCTTTCTCACCTCGCAAGCAAAGAGCCTGTACCGCAGCCCCAGGATCTTGTAGTCGATGAGCTGGTTGCCTCGCAGCTGGGCCAGCTGCCTCTTTGAAATCCTCAACGGCCTTTTCATGGCTGTGGAGCGGAGGACAAGGGTGTCACTGCCTCGTGGTGGCAACCTGCCTGCCTCTAAGTCTTTACTTCAACTTGTGTGAGTTTAGTTGGGGCTCTCCTCTTTCCTTGCAGTGTTTTCAGACACCCCAGGGGGAGGAGAGGTGCTCCAAGGCTGGTGTTAATCCCAAGACTGCACTGCTGATGAAGAGGAGATTGTTCTACCTCGAGGGGTTGCAGTATGGCCCCTGGGCTACCAACCAGCCTGGGGCTGTCCTCAGCCAAAGGCTGGCATCTCCCCAGAAATGAAACTTTAAACCTCTTTCACTCACTTCTGCCTCCGGTAAAACACAGTCCCCCGCTGGAAATAAGCCACTGCCAGGTGCTTGTCGCAGCTGATGCTCTGGGTGAACGCCTGCACAGAGGTAGGAGTGGGGCAAAAAAGTGTGTCTGGGGGCCAGGGGTGGGGGGCAAAAAGGGAAGAAGACCTCTAAAAAACTGAGGGCGTAGTGATTGCGTACCTTACCTCCTCCGCCTCGGCCAGCTTCCCCAGAACAAGGTGGATGCAGCCGATGTTAAAGCACATTTTGGCAGGGGGGTTCTGGACGGCCGTGAAGGCATCCAGGGCTGCCCTCCACTCCTTCCCATCCGCCGCGCACACCCCTTCTTGCCACAACCGGATCGTCTCCACCAGGGACACGGCGCGGTGGGAGCGGGACGCCGCGGGGTCCCCGGCTGCGTCCTGGGGCTCGCCCCCCTCTCTTTGTCCTCCCTTGCGGCGCGGCTCGGCCTCTCTCGAGCTCCCTTCTCCCCGTCCTTCTGCCTTCCCCGCTGCCCGTGTCACAAACCTGGCAGGAAGTGGCCTCACTCGCATCACTGAAACACGGCCCCGGGCTGGGGAAGTGAAGCAGAGGCTGCCTCCGCCGCAGCGGGTTTCCACCGCTTGCAAGCCAGGTCCTCTCCGGCCGCCGCTCCTCACCTCCTCGGGTTCTGCTTCTCCTGTTTGTTCAGACAAAAGCCACGGATTTTTGCCGGCCAGCTGGTTGATCAGGTCAAATTTAAGGTTGCAGTGCCGCCGAGGGAGCGCTGCAGCCGAGCCCCTCGTGCCCTCCGAAGCGTGGTCCTCGGTCCACGGGGCAGCAATGGCATTCGCTGGTTTGGTTTTTGCACCAGCATTTCCCACGCCGTGGGTGGCGGACAAGCCACTCGCTGCTGGATTTAAACCGTTTTCCTGGCAGCCAAAACGCAGACAATGGACCCTACTCCTCCAGCAGCCAGGGCCTGGGAAGAGAAATACAGCAGTTAACAGCAGATCAAAGCAGCTACGGGCCAAACTGACTGCTGGCCAGAACGGCCTCTGGCTGCTTTTCAAACCAGCATCTCCCCGCTCTTTACATTAAAAATGAAACTCTCACACTCAGGGTGCGAGGAAAGGACGATCGCCTTCGCTTTGAAGGCAGTTATTCAGCAGGCTTTTATTTCCCTGCATAACCAAGTTGCAGATTTTGTTTCCCTCTAGGAAGGAAATTCCAGCTCCATCTGCTTGAATCACCGGATTGAAACATTTCGCTTGCCTCACTCTAACGTAAAACCAAATTTTAACTGTAGAATCTTCACCCGAGGAATCAAGAGCAGCAGGCACACGAGCTTGCAGGAGCATTTTGGTTTCAGCGGGCAGAAAGGCAGCTCTTACCGGGCTCGGCGAGCGTGCCTCGGGGCCCCAGAACCTGCTACCGCCGATAACCCCGGCGAGAGCAGGCCCTACAAACGCACCTCCTCGTGCCACTGCAGCAGCACAGCGCTGCTGCTGTCCGAGGGGCTCTCAAAGCCTTTGCAGATGTACTTCATCAGCAGGTCGACACCGTTCTTGTCCAGCGACTGCACCGCCTTCTCAGTATCGTTGGCTTTGAAAGAGATGAGGACCTCCAGGACAATACTTTCTGCGCGGTCCTGTCAACAAACAAGGCAAGGAAAGATACATTCACTCTTGAATAAGGTGTGTTCAAATATTACCCATCAATCCCATAAACAAAGCTAGATATTTTTTTTTTAAAACAATTCTAAAATCTGTTTGAATAGGGCAGTTTGCACACAAAGCTTGTGATGATAATGTATAATGGATATGTCCTCCCAGTGATAAACAGCATAAAAGAGTTTAAGGCATTTGTCCTGCTCTGGGGTTTCTGCCTCTCTGGTGGCATTTGCAATTCGCCACCTATTACATGAGTTTACAGCTACACAATATAAATTTTCACATGGAAAACCCAAGGTCTGGTAAACTCCAAAAGAATTAGAAGAATAAAGTACTTGCCACCAGAGCCTTTTCCATGCCTTTGCACTGTATAATGAGCTACAAGTATTCTATTCCATGCAAATGCCATTAGCCAGCCTGGAAGAGGTGACTGCTGGAAGCCACAGGTTTTCAAGAGAGTCAGCTGTCCCAGGCACGCAGGATGCAACCTGGCAGCATTAATATTCTGCACTAATAACCCTTTGCAAGTTGATCTGGATGTCACTGCAAACCCAGGAACGTGTGTGGCATGATTACAGCGGCAGATTAGCCACGTAATCAGCAAAAAGCAGCTCTTCCTGTTCATCCATCACTAACTCAGGGAGGGTGAAAGAAAAAGGTCTTGGGTTTGTTGGACTTTTGAATGATTCCATTATAGAAATGCTTCAAGTAGCTTCCTCCTCCAGAAATTACAGGTGTTAGTGTTCCCGTTCAATTTTACATCCCACAGCTGCTCAGGCTTAGCGAGACCCCACATGAAGAACTATAAGTAAAAACATAAAAGTTCCATGAGATCAAGTGAAAATGAAGCCAAACATTACAATTCAGTCACTCTGCCCTCTTCAATTCCACCGCCTTCCAAGCATATTCTGAAATACATCAATACACATCTAATGGAAACAAGCCCGTTAATGTGGGGACAAAGCTGCTCCATCTTTCGTACAGCACCATTTGTAACAAGCAGCTGGATCTCAGAACCCCCTCTGAAAACCCTCAGGAAAGGGCTGGGGCTAGCTGAAAAAAAAAAATCTCCACCGGTGGCCTGGTGAGCAGCACGGAAACGTGCCCGTGGGCCTCTCCTCGAGCGGGGAGAGCAGACCTCCACAGGCGCTCACCGTCAGGCAGTTCCACAGCTCATCTGCCTGTTCCTCTCGCCGCTGCAGTCAGGAGCCATTCCAGGTTTTTTTCTGGGGAGATTCAGAAATACATGCAGGCAGCAGGCTCCTATAGTCTGTCATGGGGGGAGGGTTTGCGTTTTCCGAGGTTTTAACGGCTTCATTTTGACTGGATGCAATAACCAGCAGTTCTTCCTTTTTTGTAGGTTCACGGTCTGGCCGAGCGAGCAGAGTTTCCTTCGTCAGAGGTGACAACTGCAGTTGTGGTTCCCCGACCGTTCGGCGCCGACTCCATCCGTGTGCTGCCAGGGCTGGGTCAGACACGGGCACCCGGCGGCGCGCGGGGTTAGCCAGGGCACGGCACCCACACCCAGCGCGGGTGGGAGAGCGCGCCAAACCTCACCGAGCACCAGCTAACGGTGTACGGACAGGTGGCATCCGAGCTGCGGGATTTGGGGTGAAACTAAAACACCGGCTGTTGAGCAATCAGGGAATACCCTAAACCCAGCTTCCTCAAAGTACGCCCTGGCAGGGTTGGTGGGGTCGGGGTTACAGACACAGGGAAGGATTTTTAAGGAGTGACCCCTGAGTGAGTTTGCTGCCATTTCACCTTCACTGCCTGGTTCTTTGTGTGGATCGGAGGGTTCTTCAGAGCCGCCTGCAGCGCGGCCATCGTGTTCCCGGTGCCGGAGGGTTAAGGACCAGGCACCGAGAATTCCCAAGTCGGCAGCAGCAGCCCCAGCACGGCGATGCCGCTCGACCCAAAACGCTTCGGGTTCGGCGGCTGCAACGCTTCCCTCAGCGGATCGCACGGATTACCCCCTTCCCGCCCTCCTGTCAGCACACGGACGGGCACGGACGTTCCCCTAAAGCCAGCCCCGGCCTCGCCCCGCACCCCGCTCCCCGCCGCGGCCGCGCCTCACGGGACTACTTGCCGCCCGGCGGCGGAAGGATATGGCCGCAGGCACGAGTCCACCTCGCCCTCATCGGGCCCCGCTTGCCCGTCGCCTCCTTCCTCCTCATCCACGAACTTGTTCTCGTCGTACTCGCCCACGTCCACCCGGCGGAACCGCGCCGATGACACCGTGTGCTTCGCCATGGCCGCCCCGCCGCCGCCCCCCCCCCGCCGCTCCCGCCGCCCGGCCGCGCGCTGAGGGGACGGGGCCGCCCGGCCGCGCGCTGAGGGGACGGGGCCGCCCCCCGGCCTGGCGACGCCCCGAGGGGCGGTGCGGTGCGACGGCTGCCATTGGTCGGCTGCCAGCGGGGGGCCGTTCCCCGGGCAGATCGGCGGCTCCCATTGTGTCGGCGGCCAGCGGTAGGGCGGGGCGTTGCCCGGGTGAGGGGCTCAGCGTCCGGTCGCCGTGGTTACGGACGCGGCGGTCCCGCCCAAGTCCCAGCGGTCGCGGATCGGGCCGGTGCCCCCAGACGCGGTCGCCGCCGGGCGCCGGCGAGCGGGCGGGTCCTCCTGGCCGAGCCCAGTCAAGCGAGCCTTCCCCGCGGACCCGGAGGCAGTGCGCCATGCCGTGCGGCATCAGATTAGGTCGCTGTTTCAGACGGGTACGAGCAAGGCAGGAGCCCCCCCCCCTCTCCTCACAGTCCCGGGGCGGGGCGGGGCGGGGGGGGGGGGGCGGGGGTGGGGGGGGCCAAGGAACGGGGGGGAGTGCCAACGGACGGGGTGCCCGGGCTCTGAGCGCGGAACTCCGAGCTCTCAAACACCGCTTTGTTCCTCCAAGAGTCAAAAAAACAGCACCTGGCTTCACGTTTCTTGTCAAAAAGAAGCGATCGCCCCCGCACGCCAGCGCGGACGGCTGCCCGCGGCCGTGCCGGTGAGCGTTTTATCCGAAAGCGTAGAGTGAGTATGGCCTAATTCAAGAAAGCTTTTCTAAAAAAGCGCCGAGGCGTTGTAAAAGTCAGCGATCCGGTGGATTCCACCACAGTTCTGCCCCTGCGATGCCCCCCGGGACGCGGAAAGACATTTGAGTCTCCAAGCGGGGTCGCCTCTGCTGAAGCGGGGGGTGGTTTAGGTCACGCCGGGCAGCCACCCCCTTTCTTTTCCTTCGATCCATCAAAGCTGTGACCACAAGAAGAGCACAAAAGGTGCGGGAGCACCGACTCGACACAGTTAGCCGGTGTGTTGTGGGCAACGGCCGTTACCTGGGAAGGACGCCCCGTTCCCCGGGCAGCAGCGTGTTCTCAGCGGCGGTTGCCCTGTTCTTTAAGGCCTTTAGTCTGACAACAGATACACTGAATCACAAAGTGAAAACACTCCTCTAAATCATAGGAACTTTTTTTTTTTTTTCCAAGTTACACTTGGACTGTGTAGATCTGTGTTATCTATATTATCCTATTAGATATTTCTTACTAATTAGAAAATTACACAGCCTTGTGAGCTGCATCCGAATGGAAGGCAAGAGCCCTAGAAACCCCCCCCCCCACCCCCCATATATGTGTATATTAACCCCCTGTTATTAAGGGAACAGCTAGTAGAAAAACTTTATTAAAATATCAGCCTTACCTGCAGAACCACCTTCTTGACGGAGGAGGAATTTAGGATATGTCATGTGTTCCGCCAGCGTTAGCTCAGCTGGGAAGCTCCAATCCAGCAGTGGCGGTGGCCGTAGCTTGGGGACTGCTTACATTTTTCTGGTAGAAATTGTCTTAAAGACAACAAATAAATTAATCCAGGAGGTAATCAGATGATACTGAGGTTTTGGTTTTACTGCTATGGGTTTATGTTTGAAAGGTACAGGACTAAAACAAAAGCATGTTGTCTTCATAATCAGTTATTGAGACCCCAGTTATTCTGTGGGTTATCTTTTGTAGGAGGTGACTTTTATTGATTTTTTTATTTATTTTTATATTTTTTTAATTTTAAATTTTTAATTTAAAAAAAAATTTTATATTTTAATTTAATTTTTTTTTTTTTTTTTTTTTTACCATCTGTGATCTCAGTTTTACAGCCTGAAAGCGGTTCGATTTGTATCCTCTTTAGAGTAAGTGTCTGCCGCTTGGAAGCATTTCAGAATTGCGAGTTTCACTGAATTATTCCTTTGGCATTTTTAAATGCCTTACGATATTTTTAGGCCTGGGATATAGATGTTCCCCCTGAAAGGGCAGAAACATGCCTGGGAAAAGCACCAAGTGGCTTTGAGACATGGGAGGGAGCAGACTGCCTTTCATCTCTTGAAAGGCTGTTGGGAGGCCGGGCTAGGAGAAGAAAAGGCCTTTAAGTTCTGCGGCACAGCAGGGCTTCCCTGCGTCGCTGGTGGAGAGGCTTTCCTAAAATACGGTCTGTTCCCGTTAAGCTGGGCATTGGACGCGGATTTTGTCGATCTGCTAAGGTTCTCAGCAGTGGAGCTGGCTGACAAAGGCTTGTCCCTGGGGTGCCACACACAAAATCGCAGAGGAGGTAACGCCGTGCCCCCGCAGGCAGTCTCTGCAGAGCCGCCCCAGGCCACCGGCTGGAGAGGCTGCGCAAAGCGTCGCGGTTCCCCGCGGCGGTGGGGAAACCACCCACCCTGTGTGATAAAGCTGAGAGAAATACTGCAGAGCGTGATTTCTGGATACTTCTGCAAGAAGTTGTAGATTTTACTTAGGCAGCAGTGGTAAGCCTCGTTACAGGGAGAGTAATTTGAATAGAGGATGACGCATCCGATGTTTCCATGGGCATCTGTCAGTGCATCCAGATACCCGCCCACCTCAAAGAGCATAGATTCTGGATGCTTGCCTTGGTCAGTACAGTTTGTAGCGTGGCCTTTTTGGACTACTCTGCCTGAGAAACTCCTCAGTTCGTAGAAGAGAAGGTGTTTGTTTTGGAGAGTTGCTGTTGATCTGTATGGGAAGCCAAAGACCCTGTCAGATTCCGCGTAAGGGACTCTCGCTTCTTCCCCAGTCCGTATGTGGTAGGGACACTTAGTGCAGGTGTGGCTCTGCCTCTGCCAGCTATAGGGCTTTACCACAGTCCCCTGATTTGTCAGATATTCTTGGAAAATGCTTTTTCTCCCGGATGCATGTTCTGCTGAAAAGCTCCCCGTTTAAGTGCTATACAGCTGACAGTCCTGAACGAAAAAGGGAAGTAATATTTTAATTCAACCCTTCAATTTATTTCACACTTAAACTGCAAAAATAATAAGGGATCGTCTTCAAAAACGTGCATATAGAAACTCGATCGATGACACATAGAACCAAGCGCTCTTGCAGCCTGGGAGCATTTTTACTTTTCACAAACTAACCTTTTCACTAAAAACATGAGTAAAAATACTTTCTCTGGCTTCTACTCTCTTTCCCTAGACAGGACAAACTGCATAATAAAAACAGCCATGCTTTTCAGGAATTGATTAGCAGATGAACTAACAAGTAAACACCAACAAAAAAGCCAGGCATAATTACCATCTCAGCAGCTTCAGCTCAGGCGAATAGTAAATGTTTATCCGATTCCCTTTTTTTTTTGGCTTTTTAGGATTGGTTCAGAGTTTCCACTTCAGTGACATTGCAAGCTTGCTTTTCAGAATTAAAGGCTGAAGAAGAAAGTTACTGTTACCTCCCCGATTTTGGCAGTTCAGCTGTAGAAGGACCTTTCCCAAGCCCGGTAACTTTGCCCCGGGTGTAACGGCGACGGCAGGCAGGCTCCTTTAGGTGTTTGCAAGTGCCAGGTGCTAGGAGACGAGAATACAAACAGGATTTTCTTTTGTACAGCAAGCCACCTGTGGTAGTTAAGCTCCTGTTCTTTGCCTGTCAATGTTCGTTTCCTATCTTAAGTGATTAAGTTTCCTTTGTTTCTTTAGTGCTGTTTTGATACAAGGTTTTTATAGCCGAAAGATGGATGTTGTTCTAACAAATTAGTTACTGAATTTATTTCCAGGTGAGTGTTATTTCTGTGCGGAGCTGTCAGTTCTGCCAGCTGGGCAGAAAGCTCCTGTTGGACTTCTGCTCTCCTACGCAGGCAACAAGGTTGTCCCTTCTTTAAGAAGTTTGTGCGTGTGCCTCACTGCTGTATTCAAGCAAGCAGTGGGCCATTTCCCAAGGAAGCTAAATCGTGCCTGCCTTGTGTGAGCAGGCTTCCGGGAGAGTGCAAACACAAGTTTGGTGGAGATGAACAACCTTTGACTCTAGCAGACAATTATTTTTTGGACTCAACGTTTGACTCAAGCAGATAATTACTTTTCTTCACTGCTGGTCTAAGTGAGCCACTCATCATCCCCGGATCCAGTTTAATTCTGTTACTGCTTTTCTGACTATGCACAACTTTTCCATCTGTGTATTTTATCACAGCTTGCTTCTGCATTCCACATTGTTTTCCCCTCTGACTGTCACTATTTATTTTCTCCTTAAATTACTGATTTGATTCATTTGCTTTTTTTTCCACTCCTGACTCTATGCCAACTTCCATGTATTTTCCCGCGTTGGAGCTCTTTCCTGATCCAGGCCATTGTGCTGTTCTCATTCAGATTACTTCTAACTATTGGCTTCCTGACATCAAAAATGCTCCATTTGTCATTTTTGATGTTTCTGTGCATTTTTGTTGTGCAGTTGTACTGCGTGCTGTCATGGCAACATAATCCTGGCAGTGGCCTGTCTCAGAAAATGAAACATACGTTTGCTACCTGACATAAAAAAGAGCAGGCCTGAAGAAAGGAGTGTTTTTCTTTGTAGAGGGACGTTATGAGAATTCTCACCATCTGGCCAGTTCTTACCGAAGACTATTTTAAAAAGCTGCAAATTGGGGCAGGTTCCGATTCCTTCGGTCGTGCTGGTATTTCTGCGGAGCTGGAATGGCCGCGGGAGGGCAATGCTGCACACACCAGAGCTGTGTCCCACTTTCTGCTGCTTGACCCGAGGCAGCGGCTTGAAGTCTGTTTCGGTGAGTTTAAAGGGATGCCACCAGAGACACTTAAAATTTTATATCTCCCTCTAAAACTTGCCTTGTTTGTTTGCTCGGTGGTTTGACCTGATCAAAACCCAGCAAATATTCAGCCTTCTCAACGAATAGTGTCACATCCTTACAGGGTGGGAGTCAAATCCCTACCTACCCAGTCTGAAGGATTAATCGGAGCAGCGTTCCCACAACCCGAGTGCATTTCTGCGTGCGCTGCTCCAGCCTTGGGCTCCTTCACCAGCGCTGTCCCCGTGAGCCGCCCGGGGCTCCAGGTGACAAGGGCTCCTCGCGCTGCCTCTGCGGGCTCCAGCCTTCCCAACCCTCGGCCAGCTCTGAGGAGCAGAGAGGGCCGGGGAGCAGAATCCCAACGGATCTGTGCACAGAAACGGCAGAGACTCCTCAGCTGCCGTGTACGTCGGTTCTGTAACCGCTCATTTTGGGGGTGCAAAGAGGAAGGATGTTTACAAAAAGTGCAAGCTGAGCAAAATGGAAGAAAGCTGACCGCTCATCATCTTCTCTGAATGGACCCATTTCTGGTTTATGAGAAAGCAGAGAGTTGTTTTTCCTTCCTTTTGCTGCATGATCTTTTCTGCAGTAGAAAAAAAGATGCAAATGTGTTCCACAAAATCTCTTAAACTGATGCACGCGTGCACGTCCTAATGGATGCTTGTATATGTAGACATGTGCATGGATTAAGCAGCTAATAGAGCCCTTGTCATGCGGCTCTCTTACAGAAAAAATTTGTTCCCGTGCACAATTTCATTCAGTAGTACTGAACAGCTCTGTAGCATTTGTCATCTTCAAAGTAGTTTATCAATCTGACCGAGTGGCTAAAATATAGACTGGTCTAAATGGCTCTCTGCTAGTATTTCTGC